CCCCGCCCGCGGCGGACGGCTAATGGGGCGCAGCCGGCCCAGGGATTATCCGGTGTGAGCCGTTCCGAACCTATTAGTGCCCAATCGGCTTTTCCCAAATCTTGTAAACAGCCACCCTGGCCGGTTCTGGGGAGGGGCGGGAGGCTGGGTCGGGTGGGGGCGTTGGGGCCTGGGGTGGGGTCACCCACCCTACAGGTCTCTGCCGTGGATGCGGTTGCCTTGGCAACGGGGCTAGGGTGGGGGCACTTCACCAATGAGGTGCTCTCAGTCCGGGTGACGGTTGCCTAGGCAACCCCACGAAGAGCCCAGCTTCCCCCTCAGATCTCCCCCCACCGTCGAAGCTGGGGGTGTGTGTGGAGGGTGTGCAGCGTGTGGGGGTGAATTTAAAGAGGCACCGCCCCTTTTAAAATTAGGTGCTTGGAGGGCGGTGCCTGTGCGGGCTGGGGCGGACGCCAGGTCTGTTTTCTAAGGGCCTCCCCCCCCCCCCCCCTGGCTGCTGGCCGAGGGAGGGGTTTCCCCTGCGCTTCCTCTTGCACTTCCCGCTCAGTTTCCGGGGAGCGGGGGGAAGATTGGGGAAGTGCGTTACTCCTCCGCAGCATCTTGCCGGAGACCCCTCTTCTGCAGGAAGGACCGAGGCCACTGCTGTCGCCCCCACCCCCCTCACGGTGCTTACCCCTTCCGGGCCGCTCCTCAACCCCGCCTTTCCCCACTTCTTCCCCGGCGGCCTTGGGGCCTGACGTCAGCCCTGCATCCCCCAGGCCTCGGGCCAGCGACCAGGAGCTGCCTCCCCCAACCCTCGTCCCGCGGCCCCCAGCCGCCCCCAACCCCGCCCCACGGGCTCGGCGCCATGAGTGAGCTGGAGCAACTGAGACAAGAGGCCGAGCAGCTCCGGAACCAGATCCGGGTGAGAGCCTGGCCGGCTGGGATGGGGAAGCTAAGCAGGCAGAACTAGGTGGCTTGTGAAGGCTGCTGCCTAGTGCCCTGGAGTGGGCTGGGTGAGGGTTTTTGGGGGGGGGATGAGGGGAAGAAGGGTACCCTAATCTCTCAATGTCTCATTGCCTCCACTCCCCTGTCTGCTGTTTTCTTCCCTCTTCTTCCCGCTCCTCCCCTACCTCTGACTGACTCTGCCATCTCTTGCAGGATGCCCGAAAAGCATGTGGGGATTCAACACTGACCCAGGTGAGGGGAACCCAGGGCTGGACTGTGGTGTAGGGAGGGGCAAGGGTTTGGGGGTACTGCTTCATGGAGTCCTGCTGCCTGGACCGCCCTGAACCCATTCTGCCTCCACTTCCAGATCACAGCTGGGCTGGACCCAGTGGGGAGAATCCAGATGAGGACACGGAGGACCCTCCGTGGGCATCTGGCAAAAATCTATGCCATGCACTGGGGGACAGACTCAAGGTGCGTGTGTGGTCGGGTTGGGGCACTGTGCTGAGCTTTTGTGCTCCAGTGTTCATGGGCTGATTTTACAATCGGCAGAGTGCTCAGAGAGATCAAGGCAGCCTCAAAGATCTGGTGGGATGAACAGGATGCCCATATTGCCAGAGTGTATTTGAGACAACTTCCAAACTTCCTCATTGGACCTGAGCAAAAAAGGCCATACCAACAGGAACTTCTGGGCTGCTGCTGGGGACTGTCTCAGAAGAGCATCCACCAGATAGATGGGAGAGGGGGAGGGTGTCCTGCCTCTAGAGCAGGGCTTTACATCCTGACTTGTCTGACTCTCCCCACCTCTCTCCACCAGGCTGCTGGTCAGCGCCTCCCAGGACGGGAAGCTCATCATTTGGGACAGTTATACCACCAATAAGGTAGAGGTGGTACCTGAGATGGAAGGGAGCTGGGCTGAAGGGCCCTGGCTAGCTCTGACCCTGGGCGCTGCCCTTCCTCTGTAGGTCCATGCCATCCCGCTGCGCTCCTCCTGGGTCATGACCTGTGCCTATGCGCCCTCAGGGAACTTTGTGGCCTGTGGGGGTTTGGACAACATCTGCTCCATCTACAGTCTCAAGACCCGTGAGGGCAATGTTCGGGTCAGCCGGGAGCTGCCTGGCCACACTGGTGAGAGAAACTTGGCTGGGTCTTGGGCATTGTAGGTGGAGAGGCTGCGCTGCCCTCCTATTGAGTCCCAGCTGACCAGCCCCTTTCCCCAGGGTACCTGTCATGCTGCCGCTTCTTGGATGACAACCAAATCATCACCAGCTCTGGGGATACCACCTGGTGAGGCCCTTCCAGGGCTGGACAGTCTGGACTAACCCACATTTCCTGCCTCGGGGGCCACTGGCTCAGTGTTCAGCACACAGTCTCAGCAAGCGAGATGGTCTAAATGCCTAGCCTCCCTCTCTGGGTGGGTGCCAAGGGGTTGGGGAGGGATGAGCGCCCTCCCCACCTAAGGCTTTTTCACCTAGGACAAGAGCAGGTTCCTGGAGCCCCTTCCACAGATGCTCTGCTGGGGCCCAGCTCATGTGATGGGGTTGGGAGGCAGGGAATCTGTCTTTCATCTCTGATTCCTTCTTTTTTTCTATCACCTCTCCAGTGCCCTGTGGGACATTGAGACAGGCCAGCAAACTGTGGGTTTTGCTGGACACAGTGGGGATGTGATGTCCCTGTCACTGGCCCCAGATGGCCGCACCTTTGTGTCAGGTGCCTGCGATGCCTCCATCAAGCTGTGGGACGTGCGGGATTCTATGTGCCGACAGACCTTCATCGGCCATGAGTCTGACATCAATGCTGTGGCTGTGAGTTCCCGGGGCAGACTTGGCCAGCCCTCCCTGATGGGGTCCTGGCCGTGCTCCGTGCCCTCATTCTATTCCGGTCTCCTGCAGTTCTTCCCCAATGGCTATGCCTTCACCACGGGCTCTGACGACGCCACATGCCGCCTTTTCGACCTGCGAGCCGATCAGGAGCTCCTCATGTACTCCCATGACAATATCATCTGCGGCATCACCTCTGTTGCCTTCTCACGCAGTGGCCGGCTGCTGCTTGCCGGCTATGACGACTTCAACTGCAACATCTGGGATGCCATGAAGGGTGACCGTGCAGGTGAGACTGGGTGCTAAAGCAGAGCAGGCAGGGACAAAAAGCCCAGGGCAGATCAGTTTTGATGTCTCTCTCCCTCACAGGCGTCCTTGCTGGTCATGACAACCGTGTGAGCTGCCTCGGGGTCACTGACGACGGCATGGCTGTGGCCACAGGCTCCTGGGACTCCTTCCTCAAGATCTGGAACTAACCACCCTCACTCCAGCCAGGCCCAGGCAGGGAGAGGCCCTGCCCATGCCCACACTACAGGCCGGGAGCTTTGGGGCTGGGGACACACCAAGCCTCCCTCCCTGGGCCATAGGGCCTTGGGTCCCTGATCCCCCACCCAGGTTTGGTTCCTCCCAGGGCCACCCATTGCAGAAGTTAAGATGGGGATGGAATGGGGGAAGAGGCGGGGGCAGAGAGCCCTCATCCTTTTGCCGCCCTGGGGTCTGGGCCTCACCCCTCTGGAGGGCCAGAGGCAGAAGGTAGAAACTCCAGTGGCTGGCTTTTTTAAAACTGGTTTTATTTTAATTTTTATTATATTTTCAGTTTTTCCATAAAGGAACCAATTCCAACTCTGTACCTGATCTCCAACCTTGCTTGTATCTTCCTTAGTCCTGTTCTCTGCTGCCCGAGGGCAGCCCACTTGGGGGATATGGGGCCACAACAGGAGGGGCCAGATGGAAAATCCCTCTTCCTCAGAGCAAGGCTTAAGTCACAGGCAGGAGAACCTTCCACCCAGCAGGGCCACAGATGCCCAGCATGTGCTTCCCCCAGTGAGGCAGCCCCACCCAGAGCACTTTTAGTTCCCAGGTCTGAGCTGTGCCATTCATCCCTGATGCCCCTCTCCCTAAATAAAGACAGCAGCCCAGGTGTAAGGGGAGAACACACACCAAGTTTTATTGGGAGAAGGGGAGTATTTACAGGAGTGGTAAGAAAGGGAAGTCACACAGGTGGAGATGGGGCTGGGGGAGACAGTGGACACAAGGCAGACAAGGGAACAGAGCCCCCTGCACCAACCCCAACCCCAGGGTGGGGGAGCAGCTAGGGCCCAGGAAGACTTGGGGTGGAAAGGGACAGCAACAGGGGGTCTGAGTCCCTGGGCTGGGGGCTCAGGGTTTGTAAACATTGACCACTCTCAGAGGGGATGGGGGTGGGAGAGGGCTCCTCCTACACTTCCTCACAGGGTTAAGGCCTACTCCAGGCTCATGGGCCCCCTAAGTTCAAAGTCTCTTTAGCTTGGGGGAAGGGGCAGGAAGAGACAGGAAGAGTGTCCCCCTCTTCCCCTGCATTGGCTGTAGCAGGGGTTGGGGCAGTTACATTCAGTCACAACAGGAGTCTCCCCCACACCTCCAATGCCGCCAAATACTGGCGAGAGGGACGGGGAACGGGGGCCAGCAGCAGCAAGACATTTCCCCCTGGCCCATCACCCCCTTATTGCTTTAGAGAGAATATTGTCTTTTCACGGACACTAACACTGTTGAAACCAGGGAGCAGTTGGAGGGGCCCTTCTACCCCCAAGGCCAGTTTTATCCCCCAACACTGACCCAGTTGCCACTTTGGTGCAAAAAAAAAAAAAAAAAGTCATCTCTCCAGGGATGGATGGGGAAAGAAACTGGGGCCACTTCCCATTTCCCCAGGGCAGCAAGGATAAATACATTCATGGAGGGGAGGCAGTGGCAGAATTTTGCCCTAATACTGCACTCTGAGCAATGAGGTTGATGGGAGCAGTTAGATGAGAAACCCAAAAGATAAAACAAACTATTAAAAAACAAAAAAACGAGAGACAAACCCAGGAAGAGGATTAGGAATAAGAAATGGGCAATAGGAAGGGCAGCCTACCCCTGACCCAGGAGAGACGCACTTCTATTCTTGACCCCAACCTTACCCAACATTAAAAAATGCATCAAGAGGAGAGGCTGCTTGCTCCTCTCCCATTTGGTCAATGCGCAGAGTAGGGTAGTCCACACCCCACAGCTGGCTGCAGGTCAGAGGGCCTTTGTGAAAGCCTCCAGCGTTGCAACCCTGAGCCCCAAACCACCCCCTTCTTGCCCTTTGAGGCCCCTGGTCTTGCCCCCTTCACAGGAGAAACAACTTAGTCCATCAAGCGGTGCCTTTCTCTCTCTCCAGCTCCTGGAGGGTGTCTCTCAGGGGCGAGGCAGGGGCTTGTAGCCCAAAGAATACATTCATGTGGCAAGGCAGGAGCTGGAGCTTTCAGCTTCACACCCAGGCCATCCCCCAAAAATGGCAGCGGTGGGGGAAGCCCCTCCCCAGGGCCAAGGTCACAGTCCTGCCGCAGACAGCCAGATGAGGTGGCACTGCCCTGGCCCTTCCCATCTACCCGTCAGCTGGTGCAGGACAGTAGCCTGGGGAGTGATGCGGTTCATCCAATTTGTGCAACTTTCCCCCAAAGCAGCGAAGCTAAGGGGCTACTTTGGCCCCCACCCTGGACAACTCTGCCCCAGTCACAGCAACAGGGAGCTGTTCACAGCAGGTCCGGCAGGCGGGGCTCTGAGGGGGCCTCACTGTGCAAACTGCTGACACCCCAGCTTCCAATTACCCTCCTGCCCCCATACGGGGGGACACTGGGGTAAGTGCAGCCTTGGGGGCCAGGCAGGACAGGTCCATGGGGCCTGTGTCCTCACTGCCCCAAAATAACAGTGTGTTTTTTCTTTCAGCCTCCTAACCATTTTTTTTCATTATTTTTCATCTTTTTTCTTAAAAAAAAAAAAAACCAAAAAAACACCCCTACCCCCCACCCCCCAAAAAACGAACCTCTGTGGACCTTCCATTTTCACACCCACTAGCCCCAGAGGGGATGGGGTGTTTAGAGTCTGGCTTTTAACAATATTTTTTGTCTCTCCTAACATTTGCTTCAAAGTCATTTAAAATTAAAAAAAGAAAAAAGGAAAAAAAATCCCTTTCCCCCCCAATCTGTAAAGTGCCTCGTGGTGGGTGAGTTAAGGTGCATCGTGTCGTTTGTAACAAGTGCTGGGGACCCTGCCCCTGCTTCCTCCTATGCTCCTTGTGGGGAGCCTGCAGGCTGGGGACCTTAGGGTCCAAGCTGCTGCTGCTGCCGCCGCCGCCGCCGCATCTGGCCTACAGCCTAGGGCTGGTGGGACGGGCTGGTCAGTAGTCATCCATGCTCTCGATCTCACCAGAAGATCCGTGCAGGGAGTACCCTGAAACCAGGGAGAAGCTGGGTTGGAGCTCTCTTGCCCAGGCTCCTCCTCTGCCTCATGCTGAATAGGCACCACTCCTTCCCCGGCCCCACCCTAAGCTCACCCAAGATACTGGGGTCTGAGTGCAGCATCAATGCCCGCCTCTTGGCCTTGCTGCCCTCCCCAGGGCCGAGTTTGGTGCTGTGGTTGGCCTGGAAGGCTGTCTGCAGGGAGGCACTGCTCAGCCAAGCCTCCTAGGGCAGTGGAAAGGAAGGCAAGTCAGGAGGGCGCTGGGCAACCTCACCTCCACCTGCCGGGTCTCCCAAGACCTCACCTGCTGCTGCTGCTGCCGTTGCTGGCTGGCTTTCTGCTTGGCCCTCCGCTCCAGAAATTGTTTGGCAAATTCTTTGGCTTCCAGCGTGTCCCCCAGGCAGGAACGGATATAATCGTGGACATCATAGGGGGATTCCACCTCCTTGAGGATCGCCACAGCCATGGGCACTATGGGGCAAGGAGGGGGCTGTCAGGGCCCACCCAGTCCAGGTCTGGAATCCCTGGCCCCAGCCCAGACCCCCAGCACCAGCCCGTCTGTACCGTCCAGGCTGCCCGTGGTGCTAAGCGTGTGCAGCATCTGCTCACACCACTGGGTGAAGCCATCCTGGGGCCTGGGGATGCCCTGCAGCAGCTTCAATAGCTTCTCTTCTTCCTCTGTCTTTTTGCGAACAGGCCGACCTGACAGGTGGCTGTATGAGTCACTGAGGGGCAGGTGAATTAGAGGCAAGAAATCAGCTCAGGTGTTCGGCATCCTTCCATCCCTGCCCTGCCCCAGCCTCTCCAGCACCGCACCCACCTGAGAGATGGGCTGCTCCGACTGTTCTTCAGGCCAAGGCTACGGACCAGGCTCCCACTGCTCTTGAGGGTGTCCTCCCAGAGTCCCAGGCTACTGCTCCCACTCTTGTCAGGCGTGCCCCACAGCGGCCCAGCCTCAGATACCCATTGGTTCAGGGGGGCAGTGCCCAGGCCCCCAAGCTGCTACAGAAGGCAGGAAGTCAGAATGGCCCAAACAAGAGCACCTAAGAAAGCTAGGGGGAAGCCTATTTATGTGGCAAAGGGATGAGGGACAAAGTGAGGACCACAAGGAAGAGATTCTTCAGAATCAGAACCAAGGGGCTTGGGCTGGAAAAGTCTCAGCAACCCTCCTCCATATAACCCTGGCAGCTGTCTGGAAACGGTTCCTGAAGACCCAAGAGGTTCCAGTCAACTGGAGAGGTGCCCAGCCTGCTCACCACACGGTGGTTGGGGGCCTGCGCCCGCGACGGCTCCCGAGGTGGGGGCTGCTTGTGCAGGTGTCGGTCGCCCTCCAACTGCAGCTCCAGCAACGTCTTCATGGAGATCCCCTGCTTGGCCAGGCCAGCCCAGAGCGGGGGTGGGGAGCTGGGTGCAGGGGGCACGGGGACTGTGGCTACTGCCTGCTGCTGCTGCTGCAACAGTTTCAGCAGCAGCTCCTGCTGCCGCACCTAGACCAGAGAGACGTGGTGAGGGGTAGGGCGGCCACCCCAGGAGGCCCCGAGGGCTCAGCGGGCATTGGGCACCAACCTGCTTGCGCCGAAACAACTCCTCCTCCTCCTGCCGCCGCTTCTGCTCCTCCTGCTGCTGCTGGCGCCGCTTTTCCTCCCGCCGCTTCCGCTCCTCCTCCTCCCGCTTCGCCCTGAGCTCCACTTCTCTGCGCTCTTGGAACTGAGACGTCAACCAGATGAGCAGCCAGGCCTGGGGGCACAGGCCTCGGGACCCTGCCTTGGGCCGCCCTTCACACCCAGGGCAGAGACTCTAGCCCCAGGATGCCTACTCACTTTATGTTGCAGCTGGAGTTGTTCTAGAATTGGACCCTGAGTCGAAGAGTTAATTGGTATGTCCCAAAGACTGGCCTCACCACCTGCAGGAGGCAAAGGCAGCTTCAGAAGGGAACTCAAGCCCCTCTGGTCCTGTCCAGCAGCTGTCTCCAAAGCCACCAGGGACAGCTGGAACAGCGTGAGAGTGAAGAATTGATCCAGGGCTCCCTACCCACACAGGGACTGCCAACGCGGGAGGGAGGCATGGTGCGATGGGTGGGGCATTAAGGCTCAAGACAGGGCCAGGGGAGGGAGACCTGCCAGACACGCACCTGACTGTGATGAGGCTGAGGTATGTACATCCCAGAGGGGGCCCGAATCTGGCACCGACAAGGACCGGCTCATTGTCGGGAGCAGGTTCTGGTCCCCACCTCTGAGGAGCAAATCACTGATTCTCAGGTCTCCAAATCCATTTCTGGTCTGCCCACCTCCCCACTTTACACCTCCTGAGGGCTCACACACCCATGCAGCCACACAGAGAGTACAACAGACCTGGGGGGTTTGAGAGCCTGGAGCTGCTGCAGGAACGCCGTGAGCTGCTGCTGCTGCGGCGGCGTCAGGTCCCCCATAGCTGCCTTTTCCCGGAGGGCACACTGCGGGTGCTGGCGGCTGCAAAGACACAGACAGAGCGTGGGGATGGCAGGCCACACAGAGCCAGGGCCCGGCCCTATCTCTGAGCCCTCCCAGGCCCCCCATACCTGCTGACCAGCTGAAGAAACTGCTGGTGCTGCAGCTGCTGGTACAGGGCTGCTGCCGCCAGCTCCTGCTGCTTCTTCAACCGCTCCTGGTCCATGTTGCCCTGTGCAGGGGCAAGAACACATCCAGTGCACAAGGCAGGCGAGGAGGACAAGCTCTGCTGGGGTCCCACAGCTGTGACCTGCCCCTGCCATGTACCCCTACTCCCCATCCGTCTATTGGGTCCCACCTGCCTTCCCTGCTCCAAGCAGAGAAAAGGATGCTTACCAGTAGGGGGGGTGGCGAGGGCCCTGGGGCAAAGGGTACACGACCCCACATCTTGATCACCTCCCCCAGAGGCTGGAAACCCTCATCACAGCCCCGCTTCACGAGCAGCGACATGGAGAAATAGCCAGCCTGGAACCACTCTGCCATCTCCTGTGTGGTGAAGGGGCCTGGACCAAGGGAACAAAGGGAAGGAGGGGGAGAAAACCAGCAGGGTCAGTACCCCAACGACACCCTGAATGAGCAGCCCCACACAGTCCTCCCACCCTCCACAGGTACCTTGGATCTCCCCCTGCGGGTCCTTGTAGAACCACTTCCGGGCAGCGCCGTGGCTGAGGGGAAGGGCAGTGGCGGCTGCAGAGTGGCGCAAGCCCTGGGTCTGCATGGTGGCTGTGAACTGCTCCTCTTCCAGGGAACTATCCTGCAGGGAGGCCACCAGCTTCTCTGCCTCCTGGGAGCCCAGGAAGAGAAGTCAGGCTCAGCCGCCCCATTACAGCAACATCAAGATGGGGCTGGGGTGAGGGTCAGGATATCACGTCATGGATGAGGTAGGACAGAATCAGGAAAGGTGTGGAAACTAGGACAGGGACAGACAAATGCCTCTCTGTCCCCTTGCAGTGGAGGGTCCCTGGTGCTTTCCTAGATGCCCCCATACCTGCTGCAGGTGTTTCAAGCCTTCATCATCTTCCAGATCTCCAGGTGGACCAGAAGGGGAGTCCACCTCAGGACTCAGCTGTATTCCCCTCAGGTCATCTCCTAGGAATGAAGAAAGGAAGGTGGAATGTGGGGGGAGCAGGGGCAGAGAAGGGGACAAGACAGTCCCGTAGACAACCTAACTCCAGAAAAACGGGCTCTTGTTACAGCCTCCCCCCAATACGGATGCCCTCTACACCCCTTCCTCTCTGCAGGAGGGAGCGCTTTGTCCCCATTCTGTCCACCTTCAGCTGCTGGCAGCTCTTTCTCCACAGCTTCGTCACCATCCCCATTCATCCCCCAGAGTGGGCCCAAAGTGGGCAGTGGAGATGGAGAGCTGGACTTTTCTTCCTGAGGCAGCAGTGGGGTGGGCTCCTTTCCCCCTGAAAGAGAAGGGTGATTACCAGAATTCAAAACCAGAGAGCTGGGAGGTCTTACACACAAGTTAGCACAAATCCTCCACTTGTGGCCAAAACTTGGACCTCTGGCAGTGAGTCCACCCACCTTGTTAACTCGGTCAATTCCACTAACAGCTAAGTGTGAACATGGTGAGTTCACCATCGCAGACTCCACTGGGCACACTGACTCCTGCCCTTACAACACGGCACCCAGCACGCCCATATCACGCTGTGTGCACAATACTGCAGATTTAACACCAGGTTCTACAGATTCTTCAAGGGATTTTCAAAGGTCTTTTTGACTTCACACTTCATTTTTAGCTGATATGCTGCCTTCAAACTGCTGTTCCCAGGTCCTCCTACATGTCTCAGCACGTGCCTCTAGGCAGCCTGATCCAGCAGGCAAGTGGGCAGCACTGCCCATCCCGGTGCAGGCCCCCTCTGCCTGTCTTGGCTCAAGGCTCTCCCACCTTGTCCTTGTCCCGCCTGTGGGCTCACCTGCCTCAAGCCCCTCCTCATCCAGCCCTTCTGCAGGCTCTTCCTCCTCTTCTTCCAGACCCTGGAAGTCGAGCTCCTGCTCCTCAGGAATGGGCTCCTTGGGGCCCTTCTGCATGGGGTGAGGGGACATGGCAGGGGTGAGGAGGCAGAGAACAAACAGGTGGGACAGGAGTGAGAGGACCCCAGAAGGGCAGGTTCCCACCAACCTCTCATCACAGTCTTCCCCCTCGCCTCCTTACAGATACCTTGAGAGGCAAGAAGGCCCCAGAGGCATCGAAGGTGCCCATTTCTTCATCCTCATCGTCCAGGCACCACTCCGGGAGCCCATCCTTGTCGTCATCAAAGCCGTCAGGCCCTCGGCCTCTCCGGAGGTGAGAGCTGCCTCCCCCACCCCGCCCCTCCTCTTCACCACACCCGCCTCGATCCCCTCGCAAATCAAATTCAAACTTGCGACGCCGGTCCCCATGTTCCCGCCAGCCAGCAGAGCGGGGGCCTCCATCTGGGCAGGAAAAGTCAGAGGAGAAGAAGAAACGGTATCCATGTCAAGCGGAGTCTCCCCTCTTCTGTCACTCACCGGGACACCCCAGGACCAGCTGACACTTCCAGTACTGCACTCTCCCCCACCCCCGCAAGCTTTCTGCTCCCTCCTCTTGGCCACAGGAGCCCACCCCCATGGGACATTTTTTGCCCCCCACACCACCACCTGGCCCCAATCTCACCAGGGCTGGCTGAGCGCCAGCGGTCACCATCTCGCCGGGGTCCTGCCCCAAGTCTCCAGCTGCCCTCCTCCTCTTCCTCGTGCTCCTCCCGTAGGGAACGCCAGTTCTCACTATCTGAGCGGGCATGTTCCTTCCTTGGGCCAGCCCCTCCCTCCTCAAACCCGGATCGTGCTGGGGGTGGGGAAAGAGACACAGCTGGTGGGATGGCAGTTGAGGTCCCTGGAAGACTCTTGCTAAACCTTGCTGTGAAATGAGAGGCCCAGCTCAGGCCCTCCTGCCTATACCACCTCCTCCAATGAACACCCCCTTGCTGGGATACCCATCTCCGTCCTCCCCCACCCCTGGCCCCCATGCCCTCCCCACTCTCCGTACCTCCATCCCTCCTTGCCGACTTCTCAAACCGCCTCTCACCTCTGCAGGAGGGAAAAGTGCTGGTCAAAAAAAGTACAGCTTGTGGACCGGCCCGTGGCTCACTTGGGAGAGTGAGGTGCTGATAACGCCAAGGCCACGGGTTCGGATCCTATATAGGGATGGCCGGTTAGCTCACTTGGGAGAATGTGGTGCTGACACCACCAAGTTAAGGGTTAAGATCCCCTCACTGGTCATCTTTTTTAAAAAAACAAAACATGTACAGCTTGCCCTCCCCCCTCTGTGGGACTGCTACACATCTCATTTATTCTGCCCTGCAAAAGGCAGAGGAAGGGAAGAGACAGAAGAAACTAGGGAAAAATGGGGCATGGGAGAAGGGCACCCAAGGGGACACACAAAACAGGTGTGTCAGAAGGCACAGAGAGTTCTCCCAAGGACTTATGTGGTGGGTCTCTTGTTACCCTCTAATGGCAAAAACCCAAGCCTCCCTCCATGGGGTCCTGGGACCCAGCCCTGGGGCTGCTCCCTGCTCTGCCTGGCTGAGACATCCTTCTAGTCCCCACCTGTCGTCCCAGCTCTGGCTACGCTGGATCTCCCGGGGGTTTCGTCCAAAGGCCCCATCGCCTTCTTCAATGCTTCTTTGGTAAAAGCAACTGTCACCGCGTCCACGGCCTGGAGAAGGGATGAGACCTGCCAGTGGGTGTGAAACCTGCCAGAGCATCTCTCCATACCCTGGAAACCATGGGCCACTGCTTTCCCACCCCCGCACACGTCACCACCCCTACCTCGGCTCCGCGTGCTGCCCCTGCCACGGGAGGTGCCAGCCAGGGGGGGGCCAGCCCCTTTCCCCATCAGCCTCAGCACAGCCACGCTGTTCACTGACAGGGAGAAGTTTCTCTGAAGAGGGAGCCAGGGGTGGGAGTGAGGACTCAAGCACCTGACCACCCCCACCCCCGAGACCACAACTTCCTCACCTGTCTCCCCAACTCCAGTCCCTCTCTCCTCCCCACCCAACATCCCAGCCTACAGCTTCCCCTCCCGGGCCTCTGCTGCCTCAGCACCAGGCCCGGCCCCACCTGCTCCTCCTCGGTCAGAGGCTCCAAGGCCAGGGGCTGCAGTGGCTCCTCCTGTAACACTGCAGCAAACTCCTTTTCCTGTAGCTCTTCAGGGACCTGTCAAATGGAGCAGGAAAGGCAACATACCACAGGCTCTGGGGTCCTTTCCACTGGCCGAGGCCCAATGGCAATGGAACCATACACCTCCACACCTGCCGCCCACCCACCTTGTTCTCCCTGACATAGAGGGCCAGCATCTCCTCTCGCCCATAGCGATAGTCAGCCAGCTTGTATTTGGGCATGGCAGGGGACGGGGGTGGGGAGGCCACGCTGCCACCACTCGAAAGGGCCCTGAGCCTAGAAAAGGTACAGAAGGGAAGTGGAAAGAAAGGGGTCAGAGCAGCCCTTTCCTCCTTTTCTTCCTTCTCCACCCCAGCCAAAGCACTGCTGACTCACCATTCAGGCCCAAAGTTGAGAGTCTCTGCTGCCATTATGGAGCTTGGAGCGTGTTCTCAAGGTCAGAGGGAAGGAGCAGAGGAGGGAGGACCTGACGTTCACTCTCCAAACACCTGTGGGGCCCAGAGGACACAGGACTTGGAGAACAACATACTCAGAGAACCTTACAGGGTTAGGAATAGGTCCCGCACCTTGGTGAGCACAGAAATGGGCATCAGGCTACCAGGTGGGTCACTTGGGCTCTAAAGAGACTCACCTAAGCCAGCCACATGGCCACTCACACCATGAGTTAACCAAAGATGAGTCAAGGAGGCAAGGAAACAGGGAAGCTAGAGCCAGCCTCTGCAGGGCCACCCTCCCTCGGCCCCAGACTCACCTGGCAGCCTTGCCGCTGGGAAACAGAAGGGCGAGGACTGGGCTCTCTTCAGGAAGGGGCCAGAGCTAGAGTGAACTAGTGTCCCCAAGTCACTGGATATTGGTCTGACCTCAATAGTGCCCGGGAGGAACCTTCACACCTGGGAAAGATCCTTAAGGAGAAGCGAGAAGAAGGTGATTAAATTAATTAAATTAACAGGTCACATGGTATCCCTGCCTCCAGCCCATCTCAGTTCTGCATAACTGGAGAGGCCCACGGGTGCCCGGTGAACAGGCAGGACACCAGATGCTGGAGGTGTGGCAGAGAACACACCAAGCACGGCCTCAGGTCATCAGCGCTCTCAGCGGGAGGCTGAGACAGGAAATGTGGCACAGAATTTGGTAAGGGAGGTGGCAAAGGCAGAGGTATGGACATTCAGGGCAAAGACAAACAAGCAAGCAAGCAGAAAAACCACTGGAGCCATAAATATCTTGGAGAGAAAAGGGCAGTTATGGAAAGAAGGATTACAAATAAATCTGGGAGCAAAATTGCTTCCCTCATGAAAAAAATCAGGGTTGGCTGCTTGGAGGCTAGAATCCAGGACTTGGTCTGGGGAGGAACCCAGTAAAAAAGGAGCAGATTTGGATCCCTGTACAGACCAGCCACCAAAACAAACAAACAAACAAACAAACAAACAAACAAACAAACAAACGGAGCAGAGAGGCCACTCCAGGGCCCAAGAAGGGGCACAGGCTGAAGGCTCCAGGCAGGCAACACACCCATGGGCTGGTTTCCGAAACAGAAATAAACTCCTAGCCCTTCACCTAGACCAAGAAGAGTCGATCAAACAAAAAGCCAAGAAGGGAACATGTTCTTATGATGAAAGCTGGGGAAGGTTCCCTCACCATAAAGGACAAAGAAGGTCAGAGTAGCTGAGGCTCACTGAAGAAGAGGTGGCGGTGGCAGCAGTGACCTGTTCCTCTAAGGAACAATGGAGGAGACTCTTGGGGGGAGGCTCATTCCTGGCAGTGCCGGAGCAGAAGACGAGGGTGGGCAGTGTCCAGGAGCTGCGCGAAGGTGTCTGTCACTGGCTGGGAGGGGGGCTGCACCTGAGTGCCTCTGCAGTTCCCATCAACTCCAAGATGCCACAAGTCTGGGAAGGAAGAAGGAAGAGAGTTTCCACCAGTGGGGCCAAGGGCAAGAGGTTCTTTCACCCATAGCTGAAGCAAAACCCCACAACACACACAAGACCCCCTAGTAGAGTCACAGCATCCTAGTGAAATGCAGGTCTCAGAGCCCACCTAGCGCTAGGCTAACCTCCCCGCATGGGCCACTCTGCTGTAACAGCCTTGGCAGGACATTCCTGGTGACGGAGCCCTCCACACCACATGAAACCAGCAGAGGAAACAAGTCTGCCAAAAAGCTCTTCCTTACACCAAATTCCAGGAGGCTTCCGGGACAGCAGAGTAAGGCTAATTCTTCTACACTACAACCCTTAAGGAAACTGGCGACTGGATGACCCTTGAAGACGTGACACTAAATGAAACAAGCCAGTCACAAAAGGACAAGTACTGTGTGATTCCTTTTCTATGAGGTACCTAAAGAAGACAAATTCATAGAGATGGAAAGTAGAATGGTAGCTTCCAGGGGCTGGGGGCAAGAGGGAATGGGGAGCTGGTGATGGGTGCAGAGTTCCAGTTGAGGAAGAGGAAAAAGTTCTGGAGATTGATGGTGGTGACAGCTGCACAACAGCGTGAGTGTACTTAATGCCAAAGAACTGCATAGTTAAAAATGGGTAAGGTGAGGGCTGGCCAGGCCAGTTAACTCAGTGGGTTAGAGCACAGCCTTATTACACGAAGGTCATGGGTTCGGACCCCAGAACTGGCCAGCCACCAAAAAAAATAAATAAAAATGGTTAAGGTGATAAATTTTGCGTTATGCATACTATACCTCAATAATAAAGGAAAAAAAGCGTTAAAGAAAAAAAGGATTATTTGGAGATAACCACTGCATACTTAAGTCTTCACCACTCTAAGAAAAACACCTCACATTCCTTCAAACCTCAGAAGAGACGGTTTTGAGTCTCTTCCATTTCATTCCTTCTAGTGGGACAGAAACTAGGCCTGGGGCATGGAAGAGCTGCTAGGTGAGAGAGGGAAGAACAGAAAAGGGATCAACTCACCCTCCCACTGTGCCAGGGGGTGGCAAAGGTAGCACTCCTGGATGCTCCCTGCCTCCTGCCTCCACCTCTCAGTCCTGGCTGTGAGGAATAAGCAGAGGGAAGGCGCTCGCTTGCACAGCGCGAGGAGCTGGGTGCCGCAGAGGTGGGGACAGGAAAAAGACCACGCCACAACCCTCTTGGGGAGAAACCAGGAGAGAGGTGTCAAGTCTGGGCCCAGCCAGAGAAGGGCCTGGTACCAGAAGAAGGAGCAACAAGGCAGCGGACAGGCCACCCGAGCAGCTTCCTTCCCTCCCAACAGGTGTGCGTCTGTCCCATGTGCCACCTTGAAGCCAGCAGCTCTCAACTAGGGGCAACTTTGCTCCCCTGGTGGCTTTTGGAAATTTCTGGAGACATTGTGGGCTATCACAACTGGGCAGGGGGGCGCTGCTGGCATCTAGTGGGTAGAGGATAGGGATGCTGTCGAATGTCCTACGATACACAAGGCAGTCCCCACAACAAAGAAGTATCTGGCCAAGATATCAACAGTGTCAGTGTTGAGACACATTCCTCTATGCTACCAGCACAGGTAAAGCCTACCTGGTGTTTATGGAGAACAATGGAAAACAAGAGAAAGCAAATTTACACTAGTTCATTCGCCCCTACGAATGGCAGGGAAATTATTCCCTAACTACACTGTCCCTTGAGAGAAACCTGAAATCCTGCTAGGAGGGAAATCCTTGAGGAAAAAAATAGATTTTTTTTTTTTTTTAAACTGCCCTAAGTTTGTCTGTCACAAACTCTCAAAGCCAAGCATCTGGATCCCTTTCCAATGAAGAAAAGAGGGAGAGGTGGCGGGCAAGGACCAGGGATGGCATCCTTTCCTGACTTTTCTTCTTTCCTGGCTGCTTAGGCTAAAGGGCTCTTCTCACAGGCCCATTCAAGATTGTCCCCCACGCCTCCATTAGCCCTGCCTCGGTCTCTGCCCACCTCATCCACTTGCTCCCACCCACCGCTTTTTCTCTTCCCCCAGACTCAATATACCCTCACGCCCCAGCATTTGAATTATCGCTATTAAGAGGCTGCCCCCTGCTGGAGACAAGGGGAGAAGACACACACGTGTCCTGGATGCTCCCAACGGGCTTGAAGGAGGGAACAGGGGGCCTGTTCTCTGGGATTCAGAATTCACTGGAGAAGGAAAAGATGCAGGGAATAGGTGGTCCCAGTACACACGAAGTTAAGAACATTTTTTCCTCACTCCATCACCCCTAAAATTAGCCCCAATCTGGAGCAACATGCCTTGGCACATACCACACCACTACTAACAGAAGCAGAGTCCCAAATTCCCCAACATTTGGAGCAACTACCCAGCCTCAAGCTTGTTGGAAGTGGCTCGGCCCTTTCTCTGGATGGAAAGACTCTCCATGCATGATAGGGTAAGGACTCTGAGGATTAAAAAAGGGCTGTAAGCCCGCATTCCTCCTGGCTGGTCAGTTGTCCCAGCTCTCTACTCTCTGAGCCATCATGACAAATAACAACAGTACTACTTGGCAACTGTATAGTAATTAACAGTTTTCAAACCACTTTCACACTTTGCCTCATTTGATCCCTTGTGCCCAGCCATGGGCTCCAGCCAGGGAAAACAAAGAAGGGAAGCTACAGCCCTACAGGGTACTCCGACGTCCTCAACACTCTCTCCAAAACTGGAGGTGTGCACGGTGGTAGTAGCCATCCCAAACGCTCAAGCATACTTTGTGAGTTTGAAGCCATTTTTAATTCTTTTTTTTTTTTTTTTCCTTTTTGTCTTTTTTCGTGTCCGGCAACGGACCACAACCCTCAGTGTTGCGCCCGCACCAGACCGGGACAGGCAACGGAATCGCAACCCTCGGTGCTGCGCCCACCCCTCGCTCAGCCAGTGAGCGGGAACCGGTCTGTATGTGGGATCCGAACCCGCGGCGGGAGCGCCACCGCGCTTCCCAAGCGGCGCACTATAGCAGTGCACCACCGGGCCGGCCCCATTTTTAATTCTTTATCAGACTTTTTAAATCCTTCACATAGTCTCCTGTTCTCACCTTTTCTCCTCTAAAGTGGGGCTATTTTTTTCTGTCACAAACTCTGACCACAGATGTAAAAGTGAGGGCAAAGTGGGGTCCTTTATCCATCAAATCACACACAATACTAATATGTCCTCTGGCTGAAAAAGCTAGTCCAGAAGTCTAACTACACAATCCACTTGACTATATTCACCACATGGGACCCTCAAGGCCCCTGTTCCCCAAGCACTGGCAAGAACACAAAGTCCAGATTTGCCCCCAATCCTTCCCAATTACATGACAGACAAAGTAGAAATAAAACTGGAGCTGGGGTGGAGGATGGCTGGCCTGGAGCTGCAAAGCGAACAGCAGAGGGAAACGAGCCAGAGCCCAAAATCCCAAAGGGGAGCGGCTTACTGGTACTGATGGTGTTTCAGAGGCAAAAACAAGAGGTTGGGGGCTAAGTTGAAACTGGCATGTCAGCTCGGAGGGGCAGTGGACCTAGAGACGGCGGCCGCAGCTAGCGGCATCGTCGGTCCCTCCTGGCCAGTCGGCTCCCTCCAGGAAGCCCGCCTAGTTTGAAAGAGACAAAATAAAAATCCAAAACTGCTCCTCGTCATGAGGTATATAAGATAAGCGAAAACCTAATGATTTAGAAGCAGTCCGAGGAAGCACTGACTGGGGCGAGCTGAAGTTTCTATCTGGCTCCCGCCACGGTCCACCTCGTAGACCTCAGGCGAATGAGTTGAGCATACGAGCCTCAGTTTCCCAGACGGGTGTTAATTCTGCTCTGCGCCCCTCCCTCGACCTATTCCACTTCTTCACGGAATGCTGTAAGAATTAAAGTGAGTGTGAAAGACTTTGAAAAGAGAAACTGCTGTGCAAATGTGAGACGTAAATTGAAACCCCTTTGTTTAAAAAATGGATTTTTCAAGAGTGACTTTTCTGACACTGAACTTTTCAGGACGAAAAAGTTGTATGTGTTTGCACCATTTTCTTTGGAAGTCACTTCAGAGTGGCAAGTCTACTCCGCTTTCTAAAACAGCTGTTGCCCAACACATTGTAATCCTCTCAAGACAGAGAAAAAGTAAGTTAGTGACTTGGAATTTGAGTGCCTTGTGTCTTGCCATAATAGAATGCAGAACTCAGGAGCTATCTGGAAGTCCCTTTATTCCTGCACCAAGTGCCGCCAGGCTTCTCTGCACTTGCAGTTTTAGCGTCTGCTTTTTACAGTTCCCTTGACTTTCTTGGCGGTCAGGACTTGTGCTTCAGTGTTGTCAGTCAAGCTCCTTGCTCACAGGTTGGAAAATGGCAGTTGCTAAGAAAAGGTCCTTGTGCTCGTTCCATCCATTACTGACTGTGGCCCTGGGCAACTTAATGAACCAATCTTATCTTTGGATTGCATGGTAAAGCATTTAACGTAGCACTTGGCACAGGGTAGAGACATCATAAATATCAACTAATAGGGGCTGCTGGTTCCATGGGGTCCCTGAAACACAGTATTGAAAATGTATCAATGGAATTCAAGCGTGAGTCATAGAATTCTCCTTAGAATAAAGTTTATAAGCTTATAGTAGTTGTTTTTTCTTTTTCTTTTTTCCTTTTTGTCTTTTTTCGTGACCTGCAACAGATCACAACCCTCAGTGTCACGCCCGTACCGGACCAGGACCGGCAACGGGATCGCAACCCTCGGTGTTGCCCCCGCACCTCGCTCAGCCAGTGAGCGGCCGGTCTGTATGTGGGATCCGAACCCTCAGCGGGAGCGCCGGCACGCTCCCAAGCGGCGCACTGTTCGCCACCAGGCCAGCCCCGTAGTTGTTTTTTCTAACTCAGAAGTTTTGTTGTTGCTTTTTGTTTATTTGGTTTTTCTAGTTTCGAGCTGTGTTTTGGGTGGTTGAGGTTACCAGCAGCCTAACCTATGTTTT